CAACATTTGTATTATTGGGGTGCCAGAAAGGGAAGAAAGAGACCAAGAAATTGAAAACCTATTTGAAAAAATAATTCCAGAAAACTTCCCCTACCTGGGGAAAGAAGTAGACTTACAAGTCCAGGAAACACAGAGGGTCCCCAAACAAGAGGAACCCAAAGAGGGCCACAGCAAGACACATCATAATTAAAATGCCAAAGGTTAAAGACAAAGAGAGAATCTTAAAAGCAGCAANGAACAGTAAGTTCTTTCAAAATCTCCTTTGTAACTTGACCAACATTCATTTTGAGTTAATCTTTCATTTTGCTCTCTTTCCAAAGGACATCCATTACCTTGCACTAGATAGGGGTGAACTGGCACTAGCTCAAGTGGCAAGAAAAAGAGCTGGCGACATTGATGCAGAGTCAATAACCTCTGGAGTTGGTAAGAATTCATGTTGGGGTTTTTAAGTGCTTTTTGTTTTAATCAATACTTAATATCATTTCTGTTTATGCTTGTAGGGCATGATTGGTTAATATGAATTATTTTCTTTGTAAAGATAGTGTCTTTAAAAAAATTAAGCCTGGCTAAGCAGTACAGTATAAATATATAAGTTGGAATTGTGTTAATATGAAAATTGATGATCAGTGATTAATACCACTTAGCAAAAAGTAAAAAGGACTTTGTTATTTTCATAAGATTTTGAGAGAAAGGGTCTATTATCAGCTATTCCTGGCCCTTTACATTTCCATTAAAATTAACCAACACAGGAACTTGTATTACAGCAGTACCTCGGTTTTCGAACATCCCTTTGACTAACATTTCGGTGTATGAACGCTGCAAACTGGGAAATGCTTCGGTTTTCAAACATGCCTCAGAAGTCAAACATGCCATGCAGCTTCCGCTGAATACCGGATCCTGAGGCCTAGCTGTCGGCTGTTGATCCCTCGGGTTTCCTCAGTTTTTGAACATTTCAGAACTCGAACGGTCTTCTGGAACTGATTACATTAAAAAACCGAGGTACCACTGTAATCCTTTATTTATACACATAGACATGTCATATCACAAAAGAATTTTCTGTATCAGACAAAGTACTTCATATGGGATTTTAGGTTTGATGGGTGGTTTTGTTTTTGTTTAGAAATGTCTAGAGTCGTTTTACAGTGTAGTCTTCCAAAGACAACAAATAAAAAGCCTAATTTGAATCTAAAGATCCATTCAGAACGTCATAATATAGAAAAATGATCGTTTTTAACAACTATTATAATATCAACGTGACCTTCCTTTCTCTAAACTCAATTTACTAATGGGACTAAATCTGGAAGTCCTGATCTCTAGTCATCCCAATTCCTATTCTTCTTGGTATTTCCTATTCCTAGGTTAGGCAAAGCGCCTCAGAATTGTAATAGATTTCATTTCTTTGTGGAACTTCTATGAAACGAAGAAGTTTTATAAGATTCCACTATGTAAGTTGCTTGAAAATATAACAAGCCTCTCCACTGATAGATAATCTTGTGCTTTATTTTTGGAATGGTGTTTGCAGATAAAGGGAGCTCCTTTTAGCTTCTCTCTAACACCACCACCAGTGATCCCAGCCTTCAAGGTGGTAATGAAGGACTCAGAGCCCTTACCACCAGGATGGCTCTAACCTTGAACAGCAAAGCTGACAGTGGCTTACCAGAAAGATGATTCCCTTTTACCCAAATCCTGAAAGAGTTCCAAATTGATGCACAAACTACGTTCAAATCTTTAGTCCTAATAAGAAATACTATTAATACAGTATTAGATAACTTCAGTTGACCTATCACTATAGCTTTTACTTTCTAACTATATTGATGCACCTCTGAATACCAACAATAGCAGCTAATAGTTTTCAAATGCTTACTATGCACCAGACACTGTTTTAAATTACAGATATTAACTACTTTAATCCTCACAACTCTGAGGTAGGTAGTTTATATGCAAAGTCACTTTTAACTAAATAATGAAACCATACCATGTTAATAGGAATTATGTTATATGATGGGGTTACAGATATCCTCCATCCCTCTAGCCATTTAGGAAGACACAGGAGAAAGGTTAATTCATAGCATATTTTATGGAAATTTTCCTTAGTTACATGCCCTGTCTTTTCTACTAGGGTATCAGATATAATGGAGGCCATCTTTGCATTTGAAAGCTGTTTAAAGTTACTAGGGGGTAAAAAGGAATGTGAAGAGATTACCATGAAATTTCAGAAAAATGAAGATGCTACACTGTTTATCAAAATGTACCGTGGCCAGCTTATAATTCCTAGCCAGAGAGCTTGGTGTTCCCTCTCTGAGCCCTGCTTCATTTCTAGTGAATTATCTTTTTTTCACTGAAACCCTGTTACTCCCCAATTTTCAAGGTTTTTTAGGTCTTACCCTTTCACCTCGATTACTATCCCTTCACAAAGATAGCATCAATAGCAATAGTAAATATCAAAATGTGAACATCTTAGATGAATGTTGTACTCTACTTTTGTTCCAGAAAACTGGAGTGTCTCCCACCCACAATTCCCAATGGAATTAGGAAAGAGTATCTGGTTTCATCATAGTCTCTTCCTTACAGCCCAAATCATGCTGGAGAAAGCTAATTTTCTCTCAGATTCCCAGAATTTAATTCAACTATTGTCTCTCAGACTTTTCCAAAATCAGAAAATAATTAGGCTTTGGCTTTCAAAAGGGTTCTCTGATACAAGCAAGAGAGCAAATTATGAAAAATATCAAAAGAGTATTTAATTGTATAAATGTACCACATCTTCTTTACCCAATCATCTATTAAAGGACACTTCAGTTGTTTCCATATCTTGACCAAATATATGGTGACCAAAGATGATTTGACTTTGGGTGGTGGGCACAATGCAGTGTACAAATCATGTATCATGGAAACGTACACTTGAAACCTATATAACCTTATTAACCAATGTCACCCCAATAAATTTAATACATATATTTAATATATAAATGTATACAAAATGAACAGATGTGTCATTAAGAGTGACCATGTCAGTGATAATGATGATCTGAAAGAGTATTACTAAGCATGCCACTACTGAACCATGACAAAATGGATCAGTCAGTTCACAGCTTTAGGAATGACATCAGGGAAACCATACAGAGGTCTAAAGATGGTGGAAGAATGCCTACAGGATCCTGGCACTCCTCAAGCACCTCTAGCCCAATCTGCCCTCCCTCCGCCGGAGTCCTGGGTGAGTGGCTGTGAACGAAATTTTGTGCATTGGTCCTTTAAGAGGGTGCCTGTGTCTCCAGCAGACTCTGTCTCTCCCTGGTGTACAGAAAGCCCACTGCTCTGCATAGCCATATGTTACGTGGTCACCTCTTCCCAGCTCTGGTGCTCTGGACTAGAGAGCCCTGCTTGGGGTTTAGGCCCCATGCTTCTCAAGATATCCCTCCTGAACCTCAGCTGCCACCCACAGCAGCAGGCCCAGCCTTTTGTCATGTCTCTGCCCTTACCAGTCTTGGTGTGGCTTCTTCTGTAAATCCTTGGTTACAAGACTTTTCTTCAGCTAGTCTTCAGTTGGTTATTCGGGATGATTGTTCTTTAATTTAGTTGTAATTCCAGTTTGGTCGTGGGAGGAGGTGAGGGTAGCTTCCACCTATTCTGCAGCCATCTTGAAATCCTGAAGAAAAAAAAAAATACCATACTGTTTTCACTACTGTAGCTTTGTGATAAAATTTGAAATCAGGGAGTGTGATGCTTCCATCTTCATCTTCTTTATAGAAATTGCTTTGGTAGTTCAGGGTCTATTGGGGTTCCATGCAAATTTTAGAACTGTTTATTATATTTCTGTGAAAAATGCCAATGGAATTTTGATAGAGATTGTATTGAATCTGTAGACTGGTTTAAGTAGTATGGATATTTTAACAATATTAATTCTTCTAACCTATGAACATGGATAACTTTCCATTTGTTTGTATCTTCTTCAATTCTTTCATCAAAGGATTGCCATTTTCAGTGTACAGATATTTCACGATAATTTATTCTGATGCAATTGCACTATTTTCTCTTTCTGATAATTCATGACTAGTGTATAGAAACATAGCAACGATATACTGACTTTATTGAATTGGTTTATTCTAACAGTTTTTTTGGTCGAGTCTTTAGGACTTTATATAACGCCATCTGTAAAAGGAGACAGTCTTACTTCTTCCTTTCTGATTTGGATGCCTTTGTTTTCTTGCCTAAGTGCTCTGGCTAGGACCTCGAGTAGTATGTTGAATCAAAGTAACAAGGATTAAATAAGCTTCACTGGTGGTGTACTTAGTGGTAGAGTGATGCTAACACATCCATTAGGTATGAAACAGTGTAGGCTTCTCCAAAGGGAGACCATGGTGACTTAAAGAATTTTCATTTTCACATAATTCTGGAATGTGTTCCAGGACTGGTAAGGTATGCTGGCATCAGATTA